GTATCTTTTTCCAAATGATGCTTTCTTCTATGTTTGTAAATTAAAAATTTTGAAATAATAGAAAAAAATCTCTTCTAAGAGTTCAAATTTTTTTAAAATCCTTGGATGATATATTTTTTCTCTTTTTTTTTTTAAGTTTGTAAATTGCAAAAATAAGAGATAATATAGTATATAAATGGAGCCTTCTTATGCCCATTCACTTTTCCTTTTCTTTCTCTTCTACATCACTATGTAGTTTATAAATGCGCCCTTCTATAGCCATGTATGTAGAAGAAATAATGAACTACTACTAATTGCTAAAAATAATAACATATTTCTTACAAGTTATAATACATGGATTAAAACTTTTATAGTGAATAATTAAATAACCGCGAGTTTTATGAGGCATTAAGTGACTTGAGTATTAATTACAACATCAATGTTTTAATTTATCTGCATTAAATTTCTTTGCCACAAAACAATACTCTGGAGTGGTTAATGGGGGCACAACATCAAATAAACTATTTTTTTACCCAAGGCTTTGTGATGTCATGCAAAAATAGGAAGAGGAAGATGATGTTGGGCATAGAAGAAGGGAGTTGGAAGGAGGGAGAGGGAAAAGTTTGGCAGACATTTATCCTTGTGAGAGAGAGATTAGAGAGCAATCTTGCTTTCAAATTATGTTATTCATCAATCATTAAATTTTATTACAAGCCCACCCTTTTTTATTAAGAGAATGCTTGCATCTATAAAATTAATAAAAAAAGAAGCGCATGTTCAATGAAGTATGTGGGTGACACGAGGAATTAGCGTTAAGGGGGGCTCAAATAGGTTGAATATTTAAGGTTTTTTTTTTGATTTTTGGTGGTAGCTCGTTGCGATAAATGTGACACTAAATAGGAAGCAATGGAGAAGGATTCATGTGGCCAATCCGACGTAGTGAGATTATGGCTTTGCTGTTGTTGTTGTTACTTTGTATTAATGTCAGATTTGTTTAGACGACAAGTGCGTCGAAATTTGCATATAAAAATATCGGACCATGATTATTAGCTTCAGTTTACGTAAAAAAATATAGTATAACAATAAAGTATTATTGTTGATTTATTGTTGACGTAAACCTGTACCACAATTTAGAACACCATTTACATTTCCACAACCTGCACAAAAACATATTCCACATTAAACATAGCCATATCACAGATCAGATATCTAAACAATATTATTAATAAAAGAAAAAAACTATCACAAGACACAAATAAGAATAGTAAAGTTAATCCAAAAAATTACACAACAAATATTTAACATAATACTTAGAAATAAAATTAAACATAAAAAAACTAGTCATCATCTCCATTCTTCTGCACAAATATTATCGGTTGCTTGCCTCGACTATTTGCTAAGATCTCCGCCATGCATGTTATAGAACCCTCAATTTTATGTTGATCTTTTAGCATCTGCTCGTGCAACTAGCAAGTGCCTCCTTGTTTGGCTGTGAGGAGCTCGGGGAACTAAGAACCGGACCATAGGAGAACTTGACCTCAAAGGCTATTCCCTTTGCTCCAAGGCCATAAACCCTCTCCTTCCTGTTGCCTGGGTCCGAAGCTCGTACTTTGGACTGTTTAGTGGTAGACTCACTACCAATGTCGTTGGCAGAAGTCTGGGCCTAAGCGGCCAAATGCCTCTTCTGGAGCTGCTAATAAAAACCAACAATTAAGTGACATTTTCAATAGTTAAGATTCAAAATTAACTTTTAGATTAAGGTTTTTAGCTTATAGCAACCCGCCATAAATGCATCAAGGTCCACTGCGCAGTCTCAGATGCCGATGAGTTCGGACATACAACTCTGAATGGAGGGAGCATGACTGAACTCCTTAGCATATGTTATGTAGAGTGCAAAAATGGTTAGCACTAAAAAATTTCTTTAAATTATGAATTAATGTTTAAATATCTAAAAAAATCTTCCCAGCTTCTTATAGTGCTTCATATGGGGGACTGATCCGCCAATATGGAGCACAACTCCTCTTGCCCTCTCCGTCGCTCGTTTCTTCCTATTCGTCTGCCCCTTTCTCTCATAATCAAGAGAGACCCAAGCTGCAGTCAACTGACCCCAGAGCTCCTCACCAATCCAGGAAGGCAGCTCGTCCCTCTAACCGGTTGTCGTGAATATGTCGGGAATGTGATGTTTGTCTCGAATCTCGAATATTCAACATATTTGCTGGTGGTGCTTTGGGAGTTAGGTGAAGGACCTCTGCAACGTAAAAAATAAGCCATGTGTTATTAAAAAAATTAAATCAAATTTATAAATTTTATTCAAATTACATAATCGTACTTCAAACTCTTAGAGCCACAAGTCCTGAGTGGCTGCAATTATCTATTTCCATGACAGATAGGGTTCATCGTATCTGCTTCTAATAATCTCTGTGATGTAGTTGACGGGCAGTCTGTGGTGAATGAATTTGCTTAAGAAACAAATTAGTAATAAAAAAAACATATAACATGAAGAATAAACATAATATAGAGTTTAAAATAACTTACGAGTCCTCCTCTGACAGTAAATGTACCCTGGGGGGTGGGTGGGGGCTGCAGTTGACAGGCTAGACTCAAGAGGTTTGCCAGCAGTAGGTGGGGGAGTAGGTGTAGAAGCAACATACGTCATAGGAGACGGGTCGACATCGGGTATGGGAGCAAGTGTCACAGAAGGGGTGGCAGCAGTGGTTGTGGGAGGAGGTGTAGCTGTAGCTGACGGGGGAGGAGGTGCCACTGAAGGTGTAGCACCAACAGGGGGGGGAGAAGGTACCAAGGTACCAAAGGCGTAGCAGTAGTGGAAGCAGTGACAGATGTAGACGACCTCCTCTTCTCGCTACGGTAGGTGTTCTCAAGGGTAGGTATCTTAAGGGTCCCAAGAACACGAGGTCTATGAGGTGGCTTACCACCTGTATCACCTGTGACCATCTGCAAATAAAGGAATGACATTAAAAGGATTAGTACTGGCGGGGAAAATAATCATAAGCAGAAAGAAACAGTGTAGTAAAGGTAAGACATAAGTAGCAGCTACTTCTAAAAACATTAAAAGCTAGGGTAAGAGCTATGCCTCAATTCAACAAAAATAAAAGACAAAAAAGTAGCAGTAACAACTAATCTAAAATTTACATACCTACGTTGTTAAGCTTCATCAAAAGAATTTGTTGTCGAAGATGAACTTACAATTTATTCTTCACTCTCTTCATCATCCTCATCCAAACCATGAGCAACCTCTTTAAAAATCCCTGTGGTATCCTCCAACACAAATATTTCATCATAAATCTGACATACTTTTTTCTTCGTGAATTGGTTCTATAGAATATGCAGCTTAATAGTTTTATTTGGTTTATTCTTCATAACCCCAACCTAATCAACTTTATCACTTATTCTACCAGTTTATTGAAGTTAATAAACCTGTGCAGCTTGACGTGCCAATAAAAGGATCAAACTTCGCATATCAACTGTTCAATTTGACCTCAGTGTATCATATGACGTGAGTGTTTGAGTTCTTCAATTTGGAATAAGATCAAACTATTGACAATTGAACACATATACAATATAGCTGACATGTCCTAAACATTGCAATTAAATGAGTTCGTCAAGTACGCCGTAATAGCAAATCTTGCTATATGTTTGTGTTTCTTTTAACAACGACACTGCAATTATATGCCTTCTTTCCTTCATGCCTAGAACTCGTATGAAACGTATAACGTTTACATCATATATCTGTGATGTAGTAACACTGCGATTAGGCCCATAGACAAGCTATAATAATCTCTGATTTGTGATTCCGTTGGCCGTGTTGTAAACCTATAACAAATATAGAGGTACCATCAATGTAACTTTAAATGCCACGATCATATTACGTATATGTGATTAGATTTGTTCATTGACGTATAATTTGAATAATGCTGGAAAGTCTGCTTCGACCTTCCTGCTTATCAGAGACTTATCTTTTATGTCCAAGCTGTCGATAAATAATCTGCTCACAATATTGTTATTTTTATTTTTGAATTAGTCAGTATATAATAACATTCTCAATAATAAATGACAATATGTATTGAGTTTGGAAACCGTGAATCTTACTGTATAAAAATGGCTGAACATCGTCACAGTTCATCAGGACGTACAATGCAGCTGCCCGAATCTCTTTATCGCTTAAATATCATGTGTCATGCCTCCCTGATAGCTCACCTGATATTTGATATATGGATAGTTTTGGTCTATTCTAGCTTTCACATTATCTTTGATGTTACCCCTAATAATCATCACAGTGTTGAAGATGTTATCAAAAAAATTCTTCTCAATGTGTATAACATTGAGATTATGTCGAATAAGATTAGTTTTATAGTACGGAAAATCCCATAATATACTAAGCTTCGTCCAGTTGTGCGTAACACCAAAATGAAGAAGATTAGTTGAAGCTAACCCTGTTCTCTCGACGATCTTCGACACTTTACTGATCATCTTCAATATTTTGATTCCAGTAATCCTGGGAGGTGGACTTAATCTCTCAATCCTGTTTTTGAAGAATTTATCTCTGTGCTTCTAAATGGGTGATCGTGGTTTAGAAATTTCGGTGACAGTTGAACTAGTTGTTTTTCCTACCATGTTTCAGAGTAAATGCTTCTGACATATCAATGTAGTAAGAACACGCCAATTTTTTGGTTGTGCTCTAACCAGATAACATCCCATTTCCCGGCCTCAGTTGAAAATTCTGCTTCGTAGCGATGTCATACATAAGCACATCCGAATCCCATAATATTTGAAGCTCTTCAATCAAAGGCTGTAAGTTGACGTCGATTTTCCCCTTCGGGCTATGTTGGCCTGATACGATCGCATAAAAGGGGGCAAATTGTACGACATAATGAGCACGAGTTTTCAACATGACTGTATGGGGTGAAGTCATCCACACATATCCCAAGTCTAACATTGCGTACTTCAGCTGCAAAATCCGGGTAAATAGTGTCAAAATGTCTCCAGGCCTCACCATGTGACGGATGACTCATCGAGTTAGCATCAACAGATCCAGTAATGTGCCAAGTCATGTGAGAGGCTGTACGCATGGAAGCAAACAATCTCTGAAGCCGGGTTATGAGCGAAAAATAAGATGCTTGTATAGAATATTTTTCTGATTTTTTTTTCTCTCCTTTTGTTTGAATCTACCTGCACGAAAAATCGTTTCGACTGCATCTTCCTTGTAATATATCATGCACCGATTATCACAATAATCGATCTTCTCAAACTATAATTGTAACTTTAAAATAAATTTTTTCATTCTTTTTAGGCCATCCAACACCGAATTCCCTACAAGTTTTGTCTTTTTCAATAAAGTTGCTACCTGATTAAATACTTTTATGGGCATATTAAAATCAAATTTGATGGTCAACATTCTCAGTACTACTGATAACTCTATATGTGCAGTGCAATTATCACATTAAAGTTGTTGTGCAGCGTTTAATAAAACATAGAACTGTTGTGATTCGTTGTTCAATATTTCAGGTTCATGTCGAACACTCTCAACAACTTGAGCTTTTTGAGCACCATGAGCCATTTCTTCATATGTGCTAAGATCAAATTCCTCTGTAGGGCATAACTTATCGATGCACCTCCTTGATTGAATTGAACTTCAATTCTTGCTCACCATGCGCAGTCCAATACCAATAATTAGGTTTGAATCCCTTGCTTTAGAGATCCAACTTTACTTTTTCGAGTGACAGAAGTGTTTGATTTTTATGCTTCACATAAGGACACCAGAACTTTTTCTTAGAACAATAAATGAGCAGCTGTGGTGCCACCTACATGAATTCCTCAACGCCATTCAAGAACTCATCTGTGAGTACTTTTCTTTTTGGATATAACCTGTTATACATTTAAACTCTCAAATTACAATTATCTATCTGCAACATAGATGTAGTTTTACAGATCAGTGCAACTACTACAGAAATAAAAATTAGTCAATACTTGTCAATATGTATAATGAATGATTATGTTTATTGGTTCGTGGGAATATAAGATGTTTGGTCATGTCCTTGATAAATGTCACAAGTTTCATCCAAACTTGAAATCTAAGGTTCAAGTTAATAAGGATGGGTCTAACCCCACTGCTCTGGACATTTTTTGTTCCACCTGAGGAGGATACTACCAGACATGAGTTGTCTGTTGCTCGTGAGGACCCCCCATGACACTATTGTTACTGTTACTACGAGTGATGTGATGCTGACACCTTCAAACCCCATAAAAAATAATGCTGATGGATTATTACCTACAAATGATAGTGTTCAGATTGATAATTAGGAGAGCCTCGTAGCTTCGCTTATTCAGGAAGTATCCGATGTAGAGACAACTCATACTTCACATATACTAGAACCTTTTGTGGGTACTATGATTGGTATTTCTTCTGCTTCAGCTCTACCACCCCATCAGACTGATTCTTCGAAAGAGGAATGATAGGCCTATTCCAGGAGGAAGAAGAAGAATGGAGGCCTACTCCAGCTTGGGAACATATTGGATGATAGATTGGTTACTACTGGCAATGACAATCATCTTACCAGCTTATTAGCTTGCATAAATGGCATATTTCAATAATAAAATAAGGTTTCAAGTATATTTTTTTACAAAAATAAATAAAAGGCATTTTTCTCAATTTATGTCTATTTTAAAGCTTGTAAATTTAAACTCAATTTTTAAATTATAAGTTTGATACTAATAATAATAAACAAATATTTAATAATTAAAAGAAATAGTTTATAATGCTCAAAATATGTTTTCTTTAAAAAAACTAATATTAGCTTTGTAACTATTTTAATAAATATTTATAATTGTCATAAAGTAAAAGACATCCTAAAACTTCAAACTAAAAATTATTATTTTTTAATTTAAGCTCAATTTAATTTTAAGGGATTTGCATACATATCATCAAATTCATATATATTTATATATTTAATAAAAAAACTTATTCAATTAAATTATATATATATATATATATATAATCTATGTATCCCTTTTTTGCTTTGTTAACTTGTAAGGAGTCATGAGTTGCTCTTTTTTGAAAAAAAAAATATAATCTATACTTATTTAACTAACTGAAATAATATAAATAAATTAAATTTCTAATGACGTGAATATTATATTAGGATTTCAATTTTTAGAAAGGTCGACATCAAGAAAAATCAAATAAAAGATTAATTATCATCGAGGTGAGTATTCGTACTTTTAATTTGTAATAATAATTTATTTCTTCTCAATTATTTTGCAGTTAATGATACTGGGAGATGTTTTATTCTGATTAAGATATTTTTTTATTTATTATTCATATTATTATGAATGTTGTAGCTACTTACTCTCATGCATTATTGAAAATTTAATTCATACCATCCGACCGTCTGTTCCCGTCTCGATTAATTCCAAACCTCGGGTTGGGTCGTGATAGAAGGTTTGTGTGTTCTGGCAAGATTGAGGAAGAGCCGAGCGACATCGAAAAAATGGGATGATTTGTTAACTTGTAAGGAGTCATGAGTTGCTCTTTTTTGAAAAAAAAAATATAATCTATACTTATTTAACTAACTGAAATAATATAAATAAATTAAATTTCTAATGACGTGAATATTATATTAGGATTTCAATTTTTAGAAAGGTCGACATCAAGAAAAATCAAATAAAAGATTAATTATCATCGAGGTGAGTATTCGTACTTTTAATTTGTAATAATAATTTATTTCTTCTCAACTATTTTGCAGTTAATGATACTGGGACATGTTTTATTCTGATTAAGATATTTTTTTATTTATTATTCATATTATTATGAATGTTGTAACTAATTACTCTCATGCATTTAGTGTATGCTTATATGGTATGCTAAATTAAATGCGAGGACACATGAATGATATGTTTAAGTTGACTACTTGTATGTGCATGACTGACTATGATGAAGTAACTCTTTGATAGTACTTGCGGGGGAGCACTAAGGTACCTGTGCATCTATATGAAAATGACTATTGATATTGATGTGCTTTAATTAATTTAAATTTTTAAACTTTGTTTCTATGATGACTGTATAAATATAAACTAATATTGGTATGCTACTGTTGTAGTAAGATTTATTGATAACATTTCAAATGTTAACATTGATCATTTAATTGACATGCATTTTGTTTTTTTTCCCTATATTATTATAGTTTAGGAATACGAGTATTCACAGACTTGTTTAGCTCACAGTTATTTTAAATTAACTTTCCATGTTAATTTAATTAATTAAAAGATGATTGATAAAAAAGAAAATGTGTATAAAATACATGGGCAATCATTAACGAGGCAGATTTAATTTTATTGCTTTAATTTCAATTAATTAGTGGCTATTTCATCTGTTAAATTGTAGATGAATATTGAAAATTTAATTCATATCATCCGACCGTTTGTTCCCGTCTCGATTAATTCCAAACCTCGGGCTGGGTCGTGATAAAAGATTTGTGCAGTGTGCTTTCAAGATTGAGGAGGAAGAGCCGAGCGACATCGAAAAAATGGGATGAGGAGTAACGTGCTTGTGTGAGAGGTATGATCGATTAGTGGAAGAGAGGTTAGTAGATTTTTTGTTTTATTTATATAAATTATTTTAATTAAAATTGCTATTAATTTAATAGTATAATTTCATAAATTAAAATTGTGATTATAATTTGATGAACAATTTATTTAAAGGACGAGGGAATCAAACCAATCAATTGAACATGTTTTAGAAAAGTATGTTAGGGTTATTTGAAATTATATTTCTTTTATAGAATTGAGAATGTGTTTAAGTATTATTTTGGGGTAATGTTAATTTTGAGTTATGTTAATTAACGTCGGGGAACATAAGAGAATAAAAAATGGATAAAAATTGGATTTGAAATCAAAGAGTTTGAGAGTTTGCCACATCAATCGATTGATAATTTTCCTATTTAAACTAAGAAAATGTTTACATTTACATGTGGTTATGGTTATTAATTATTATTATTTTAAATAAATTTCGTGAATCCATTTTGTGAATCCATTTTAAGATGGAACAATTTAAAAGATTTGAAAGGATCGTTTATAACGTAAATTCAAATGAGTAGTTATTACTTTATTTGCTTTAAATGTATTTTTTTTTCTTTAAAAATCTTTCATTTCTTTCACATGCTAAAAACACTAATAACTGGCTCAAGATAAGTAAAAATAATATGACTTTTTTATGATTTCAATTCTATCTTTTGTACTGCATTATATGAAAAATTAAATAAATTTAATTATTGAAATAAATGAAATATAATTTAAATGAAAAATAAATGATTAAGTCTATGAGGTGTCATCTTTTGTAATAGCAAAGGATGCTATTGTATTCATACACATTAAAGAAAAAAGAAATGAAAATTGTTGTACTTCATGGTAAAAAAAATGTAATAGAAAATCTAAATGATTGTGTTTTTATGGTAAAATGAAAAATAGTTTGATGGTGCTCTTGACATAGCTTTTATAAGTAAAAGAAAATGTAAAAAGAAAATTTTTCAATGAAAATGAAAATATAATTGATAATTCAATTCAATTTTATAAAAATGAAAAAGGCAAAGTTTACTTTTTGATCTTCATCAATCATGTTCAACATTTACATATAAAAATTTAATGCATAATAAATGAGTAATTATTGACTAATTTTATTAAAATTTAACATGTTTAACTACCATTTTCAAAAAAATGTTTGCTATATTGATATGATTGATAGAATAGAATTTATTTATAAGAGATGCATTATTGATAATAGTTAGTAGTCTGTTAGTTCTTTTATTCTCTCATTTTATCATATTATTTGTATAACTATATCACTTGATAATTGTATGTATTTATTAAATGATTACTTATATGTTTAATGTGAATTAGCGACTCTTTTCTATATGAATATTATTGACTAATGTTAATATTTAAAATTTTTTTTTGCCATCCGTCTGTTCGCTCCCGCCTTAGTTAATTCTAAGTTTCCTGGCCTGGTTGTGACACTTTAGGCGACAACCATGCAACCCCTAATGATCACTCTTGGTTTCCTAACAGGCTTTGGATCAAAATGACCTAAAGCTGCTATCATCTAGAGCTAGCTTGAAAACCTTATTTTCCTAACAGACTCTGGATGAAAGCAACCTAAGGTTGCTATCATCATGAACTAGCTTTGATTTCATCATAAACAATGCGCATGTGCTAAATAACTTTCACCACTTTTGGACATTTCACTCTTTGTTCCTTCGATATTTCTGGAATTATGAGAAATATAAGAAGAGTTGATTGAAGACAATCTAAGAAAGTCCTTGATTAGTTTTATTCTTTTCCTATTTATGTTTATTTCAGTTTATTTCATAATTATTTCATTTCCATGTTTAAGAAAGACAAATTTGATTAGTTTCTAAATTAGAAGGGAATAATATCCCTATATATGTAACCTCATAGTTGAATATTGAGAATAAGATCTCGGAGAGAATTTTATGCTCAGTTTTCTTCTTTGTATCAACACTTGGAAACAATCCCTAACTCTCCTTCCTCTGCTAGAGCCTCTCTTCAGCCTCCAGCCCCTGTAGGCCGTAACTCTCCTTGTAGTCTGCTCTCTGTAGACTTCTCCCTGATCAGCCACTAGTAGCAACCAGAGTAGTCAATTGTTTAGGCAGCAGCCAGTGCAGACCTGCAAACATTTTGCAAAGCAAACTTCTCCTTCCAAGCGGTTCTCCCTACAGGCTTTCTAGACGAAGTAGATCTTCTCGCTGCAGGGTTGTCTTCTGGTTCCTGTTTCTTTTTTTTCCTGAATTCCTGTAGACTGCCAGTTGCAGAGATCTTCTCTCGCACGTGATATCCTCCCTGCAAGCCCGTCTACTACGATCCATGCAGGCTAAAATCAGAGCCACAACCCAAAATTTCTGTAGCAAGCTGCAAACCAATGACACATCTAGCAATAACCTAGTGAATAGCAATAAAAATTCTCTTCTTCCCCTTATGTAGCCCTAAACGTGCATAGGGCTTATGGAGAAGTACTAAATGAAGATATCTAGCTCTACTTCGGAGGCTAATTCTGAATCAGAGGTCATGAATTATGTTCAAACATTTTCAAAACTGTTTACGTTTATCACAAACCATAAACTCAATGGCCATAACTTCCTTCAATGGTTCCAGTTCGTGTTTATGTGCATTTGTGACAAAGTAAAAGAGGAACATTTTATGGGAGATGACAATTTCTGAGCTCACTGATCCTAACCATCGCTCATACAAGATTCATGATCACATGGTCATATCTTGGTTGATCAATTCTATGATTATAGAGATTAGAGAAAATTTCTTGCTTTTTAAACAACATAAGAGATTTGGGAAGCAACACATGACGACTTATTACATTACCAAAAATACTTCAAAGTTATTTGAGATTGAGATAAATTGCATGAGCTTCGATAAGAAGAGTTAAGTGTGACTCAATACGTCAACACACTAAGTACTGATTACAGTTAGATATGTATGATACCCACAAGACTGTTCTCAACCAAACCCAAATCCAAACATCTTTGAAGTTCTAAGGTAGGCGGATTTCAGTCGAGAAGATAGGAAAAGTTGTGCAAACTATACTATCCAAGAGTATATTACCTGTGGGAAGTTATCATCACCTTATAAAACTTTTGTATCTAATCTTGATATTGTGCAGATACCCAAAAATCTATTCATGAAGAACTTCAATGTTCATAGTGGAAAAGGTTATTTGAAGAGGAGATCCAAGTATTTGGTCTAAATGACACATGGACCTTTACAAAGCTTCCTCCAAACAAAAAAATCATTGGGTGTGAATATGTGTTCAATGTCAAGTACAAAGCATATGGGAGGATTTTGAGGTTCAGTGTTTAGTTGGTGGCTAAAAGTTTCACTCAGTCTTATGGGATACTCTCAGGAGGCCTTTGCATCAGTGGTCAAGCTAAACATTGTAAGAGTTTTTTCCTTTGAAATGAACAAAATGTGGGAATTGCATCAACTTGATATCAAGAATGTCTTCTTGAATGGAGACCTTGAGGAAAAATCGTGTATGGAGATCCCACTAGAGCTAAAAATGGCTCAAATAAACATTTGGTTTGTAAACTAAAAAATTCACTTTATGGCCTCAAAAATCTTCACTGGCTTGGTTTGACAAGTTTGTCATATGAAATTTAATGGGCGCATTCAATGCTATGCTGATCATACACTGTTTGTAGATCATACACAAAAAAGTAAAAAAACTGTATTCATTGTCTATGTAGATTGTATGATCTTTACAAGTGGTGATAAAAAAGTTTGTGAAGATTTTGGATGTTCTTGCTACTGAATTTGAAATCAATAATCTAAGAGCTATGAGATACTTTATGGGCAAAGAAGTGTCTAGTTTGAAGACTGGAATTGTGATATCTCGAAGGAAGGGCATTCTAGACATTCTAAAAGAGACAAGAATGCTGGGGTGTAAACCTGCATACTATTATGGATTTTAGCAAAAAAGTTAAATTCAGGAGAAAAAGACATTAGTGGAAAAATATATATGGGAAAGCTTATCTATTTATCGCACACTAGATCTGATATAACCTATTCTGTCAAAATTGTGAGTCAACATATGAAGAGTCTAAATAAATAACATTTGAAGATGTTTTACAGAATATTGAGGTTTTTTAAGAGAACTCTAGAAAGAGGGTTATTGTTTAATAAATCAGACACTATGGAGGTAAATGTTTACATTGATACTAGTTGGGCAGAAGAACTCACTGACATAAAATTCACATCTAGGTATTACTCCTATTTATGAGGAAATCTTGACACATGGGTGAGCAAGAAGCAAGTAGTGGTCCTTAGAAGTAGTGCATGGTCTGAGTACAGAGCACTTGCTTTGAGAATTTGCGAAGGAATGTGAATCCAAAGGTTATTTACATGAGCTGGAACATTCCACAGTTAGTCCCATAAAGATGTTCCATGATAGCCAAGTTGCCATCGGTATTGCAATGAATTATGTGCATCATGACAGAACTAAACACATTGAGATTGATAGACATTTTTTTCTCTAAAAAGGTCAATGGTGACAGTTTTTACTTAATCTACATTTGAACTCATCTTAAAGTCGCTGATAGCTTTATTTCTAGGCAGCCTCATTGAGTTGAATATCAAGTTGTACCTACACAGTATATATGACCCAAGTTAAGGGGGGAGTGTGGACTTTCGAGAAAATATAGGAAGATTTGATTGGTGATAATTTAGAAAACTTCATGATGACTTTTGTTCTCTTTCTATTTATGCTTATTTCAGTTTATTTCGGAATTATTTCTTTTCCATATTTATGATAAATATATCTAGTAAGTTAGAAGATAATAGTTGCCCTATATATATAACCTAATAGTTGAAGATTGAGAATAAAATTTCTGAGAGAATTTTCTCCTCTGTTCTCTTCAATATCCTTTCTGTTTTTACTGCTATTTTTTTGATGCTTTCTTTACATTTATCTTAACTTCTTGAAGTGATAATGAACACTTCACTAAATTTTTTATTGTAGCTCAAATTCTATTTATCGTTTAAGTTCTGAAATTCACTTACTTCTTATTGACAAACTTAATACATTTTTTTTGAGTTTATATGTTTATATTTTTATTTAAATTAATGACTGTTTACTCTTTTACTTTTGCCCCTTCTATCTAATGCTTCGTCAACCTTGTGCAAATTGCCTTTTTATTTGTGTTCTTTATTTATTTTGTATTTCTTAGCTTATTTTTGTAGGGCTAAATACATCAAACAAACTTTTATGAGCGTACAGGCTCACACCTTATTTGGCATAAATCATTGAAGACAGAAGTCTGAACGGGCTACCAGTAATTATAGAAATTAATGTCATATTGAATAAAATTTGCCTTACTTTTTTTCTGTTAGTAATTGTTTGAGGACTTAATTTTTGTTTGATCAATTCAGCTAGTATTGTCACCCAGGCAAGGAGCATAATGGCCTGAATAGACCCACAAGCTACTGTTGTTCTAGGGGGGACGAGTCTATTGACTCTATTCATATGCTCTTTTAGAAGGGATTATATTATCTTATTTGAACTTGGGTTCTGTGCCCTCTTCAAACTTTCCTTATACGTGTGTTTGGAGTTGAACTTCAGATTGCGTCAAGTCGTGATATGTTTTCGGAGAATTTAGTGATCTAATAGGTTGGTATCCATTTTATTGTACCTATGTAAGTACAAACTCAGTAATATTTAAAAATGACATGCCCACAAGCTACTGTTGTTCTTTTTTTTTTTGGTTCTGACACTATATTCTAAAAATGAAAGACTTGCTATTTTTATTTCACATCAAGGCAATATATAACTCAATGACATGCCAGTTCTTTGATTTAGTTTTCCTTTTTTTTTTTAATTTCGTTGCACCATGTGAACAGTATTATATAGATTTTGATATGCACTTATATACTTGGACAATACCTTGTCACGCCATGTGTAACTTTAGTAAGTATCAGGCTCATTTTGTTTTGTCTCTAGTAGACGTGTTAACAATGGATTGAATTGTTGTTTTCATTTCTTTATAAATTATAGTCTTATGGTTTGTGTATCACCAACTCTTTGCATGGAATATAAGTTAGAACTTGTGTTTTCCTATCGTTCAATTATCAATTTAAATCTTCCAGCTAACTTGAGGAATTTGCTGTTTCTATTTCCTTGATTGTTTGTTTGATTTTGTTCCTTACACCTTCCCGTTTGTTTTTAAGGTTATCACTTGAAGCCATCACACTTGTCTCTCCCAAACTCTCTGAGCTTTTCCTTTGGTACAATTCACCATAGGAAATCAGTCATTTCGGTTAACAAGTGGCAAGTTTCTGCTCAAGCTTCATACAGGTAAGTGACTTTTTTGCCAGTAGAAGTATAATAATAGTCCTTTTTTCATAAAATTGAAATTTTTATATATTCTGTTAGATCTATTTGAATATCTCATCTTTAGCGTCATGTACTGTAATACTGTGCTGTGAGGTACATAAGTTCTATTATTTTCAAATAACGCATACTAAAATAGTTTTTGAATTTTTTTTAAATTTAGGCATCCAATTCTGTACTTTTCAAATAATGCATACTAAAATAGTTTTTTAATTTTTTTTAAATTTAGGCATCCAATTCTGCATGGTAGATTTTTGAACATCTCGGCCCTCCTATTGTTTCAGTTGTAACAAGGAATCTGTTAATATAAACCTTGCCATTTATAAGTGAATTATTTTATTGGGCATAAAATTTTGTGCCACTCCATTGTCATGATTACTTTTTGTTCTTACTTTCCTACTGAGCAACTGATATCGAAGTTACTATTGCCAACCTTGCATAAGCAGCAGTGCTTCTCAGCAAAAACATTGAAAAATATAAAATAAGGAAAGAGAAGGGAGAAATTATACTTGGGTCCTTGAAATTGTGGAGTCACTCCAAATATTTTCTTAAAAAATTGGATTTCTATTAAATATCAATATAAAGGGTAGTTGTAAGATGAATTGCAAATTTCTTAAAGTTCTTTTCCTTTAAACATATTGTTTTTTTTCGCTGAATTTATTCACGTGAGAATTTTTTTTGTTTGAACATCAAATTTTAATATCGTCTTGGACAAAAACACACCTAATTGAAAAGAATGCTTTAGGGCGATGCTTTAGGGCCTCAGCTTGACTAATTGAAGTTGACGCTATATACAATATCTAAGGCGTGGACTGTGATGTCACTAGAAAACACACTCCCTACTGAGTTTTTGCATTGGTTGCTGCTATGCAAGTGTGTGCAAGGGTAGTACGTATGTGCATGCTCATGCTTGGATGAGCTCATTGACAAGCTCACCTCTTTTACTGCTATGCTATTCATGTGAGCTTACATGGGCCATCCTTGCTTGCTCTTCTTGGGGAAGAGCAAACTTCCATCTATTCCTTGCTAGATCTCAGATAGTTAGTTCACGTAGGAGGGAGAAGAGAGAAGGGGGAAAGAACTGGGAATCTTTGACATTTTATTCTTTGTTATCAATTTTGTTAACAAATGGCCAACATCGAGTATTTGTACCTTCAAGTTTTGTTAACAAATGGCCAACATTTTGCTAATAGAAAAAATTTATAATATTTAATAGGGATGATACCCATTTTTTTTTTTGAAGTCCACTGATTTGTGAACACTTGGCTTTATGTAGAAATGTTTTGCTATTTCCATGATGTGATGTTTGGTGCAAAATAAATGTTTAGTAAACATTAATACTATAGTATAATATCTGGTACATTGAGCCTGCTAGAAGGGAAGAATAATTGAATCTGTGAGTTGAGTAGCCAAAAAAGAGGGAGGGGGGGGGGGGGGGGAGGGGAAGAGAGTGGAGAGCAGAATTAGAGAGAGAGAGAGATGAAGTGAGTGAGGATCAGAAGAGGGGCTCATGAGGCTATTAAAGAGAAGCGAGTGAGGAAGATTAGGAGATAAAGAAAGTTAAGCACGAGTGAGATTGTAATCAGGGGTAAACCATCGATGCACACTCACGAATGAGATTGGGATTCTAGAAGTAGAACACAAGAGGATGATGAGAAACGACATGGACATCGAGCACTGATTTGAGCAGACAAGATGAAGAAAAGAGATTGAATTAACGATGGATGTCCCAAGTTGAAAGCAGTAGCGATACATGGATTTACCACTCAATTGGAGTGGGGTCCACTCCTTAGTTCCCTAGATCTATAAGTATGTTGTTTTCATATTCTATGTCAGTTGTTTTTTGTGTTTCTGTTAGGAAAGTCGTCTACATCCCTTGTTTTTCATTCAAGGATTGTATCCAGGAATGAGTGGTTCTTCGGCCGTATATCGTTCCAAAGTGGCGGTCATCGTCCAAGGGATGAGTGGCGCTACGGTTGTATCTCTCTCATTTGTTGTTTTCGTCATCGTTCTTCCTGTAGACCGTCGAAAAACAGTTTTGTAGTTGTTTTCGCAATAGACCGCCCTCTGCCTTAACCTCCAAGCGTTAGTTTCACTTGCAGTCTATTTGGATTTTCCCTATTGCAACTCCGCCAAAAACCACAGTGTTGTCCAAACTCAGCTCCACCCCAGTCCATGTTACCACATCCTTGCAGCCCGCCACTTCACACTTCTAATGGCCACCCTGTTCCTCCCACCCATCAATCCAAACCACGACCAACCTTCTTGCAATCTACAATCCCCACAATGGGCCACCCTCCCTCCTGCACTCCAACCAAGCCCCTTACCTCCACCATATAGATATTCTACAGCCCCATCTGCTGCCCCTATCGTCCAACTGCTATTTCCATGCCACTTTCCAGCCACAACAACCCGCACCAATGCTCCTTCATCTTGCATAACCGACAACCACCACCTTTGGATGCAAGCTTAGGGGCATTTGTGTGAATGTATTTTTTTGTTTCCCCTTTTAGCGTGTCAATTGTAATTGCTTATTGGCTTTTTTACCGCCATTGTCGGGTCCCAAGTTTCGAATACTATAAGGATTTTGAATGTCTGAACTCCCTTGTTTAAAAATTCTCAAATACTTTTTAAGACAAATCCTGAGATATTATAACTCATTTGAAAGTCAGAATTCAGTTACTTGGCAGAAGATTAAAAGTCTCGTGATATCCTTAGTTAATTGCTTGCATTTCAAGCACATATTTTTATTTTGAAATTTATTTAGGACCCATTCTAAATTCTTTAAAGTGAAGGACCCAGTTATTAGGACATTAATTTCATTTTTCCCCGAAATCATTATTTATTATCAAAATATTGAAATTTATATCTTGGATCACCCCTTTTTTGAATTTTTGTTGAGCTTTGAACGTTTTGTTATTCGTGCTTTCCAAACATTGAACATTTCTGAAAAACAACAAAATCTTTCTTTATTTTATTGCGGCAGGAGGGAAGGGACAGACAAACATTGATACCACTAACATCCATTTCGATAACAAAAGTTGCACAATAGTAATCAAGAGACGTTTCATCCTTTGTCAGCTGCGTAGGAGTCATGCGGATCACTGGGATCGACCGAAATCATATTGATAAAACCTCTTTCAGGCTCTCTCAGATATTCTTTCGGGATTGTTATGCTCTCATTCTTGAAGTTTTCCTCAAGCCAACTTTGAAACTGAATCACTCTATAGTATGTTTAATGAACCTGTGATATGGGCAATATCTCGGGTGCCCTTTCTTGTTGACTTCATCCGACTTCCTTGGTTTTTAACTTGAATTCGGGCTTCTTGATTAGATTGCGGAACATCTTTTTGACTGCTTCATCTTCAAAACAGTATATCCTGTTTAATTGATCGATCATGGTTGGAATTTGTCTTTCATCCATTTGGTAAGGTCTCTGCTGAGCATTCCATTGAGGGCGTTGGTGGGTCTGTCGAGGTTGTTCTGCTTGCATTTGCAACGATCGCTTGCCTCTGTCGACCACTGCAATGATCCCAAATTTCTTCTCAAATGTTTTCATTGGCTCCAACCCCTCTGCTTTCTTTAGAAAACCAAGTTACGTAGCCTCTTCTTGGAGATTCCCGACTTTGCTAAGCAGCTTCTCAAATGTCTTGATGGTGAATCCCTTGAGTAAGAAACTCACTGGACCATGAATGCTCCTTAAAAGGATTTCGACTGCTTGCTGCTCCTGGAGTTGTGACTCATACTTCATGTTAAAATTTTTCCATCACAAAATTTAGTTCATCAATGTTTCGGTTGGCTTCTGTCACTCCAACACAAGATCACCAACGGTGATATGGTGTTTAGCTCCATCGATTCACTTAACAAAGAGGTTTTTTAATTCTGCAAATGTTTTCATTGAGCCATTGAGTAGTTCGGCATACCAGTCAAAAACGATTTCGGAAAGACTACTCACAAATTGACGACACAAGAACGCATCACTACCCCCCGCGTTGCAGCAACTTACTCGGAAGTGTGCAACATGCTGTCGGGAGTTTTCTGTTCCATCAAATGTCTTGAACGACGGTGGTACGAAACCCTTGGGGTATTGCACAACATCAAATTCCGGGTATGGCCTGTCCTTTAGAATCAATGCTCTTTCTTCTGATTGAGTCGGGGCTTCTTTTGTTGTTCCACCATTTCTTTAATGTATTTCTTCTATATCATGCTTTGGACTGAATCCTTCTTCTATTGTTGTTATTTGTCAGTAGAAGTAAACTCTTTTCTTTCGTCTGTAATATAAACAATTTATGACCGGCTTGCTTCTGGAGCTGTCATTTGTGGGATTGTGACTGTCCCTTAATTGTAGACATCATTTCTTCTAGTTGTTTCTTCATCTGATTGATCTGTTCATCATGTTGTTGAATGACTCTTTACAACTCATCCACGGCGTTCTCCTCAGTTAGTAAAAAGAACATCACGCGAGGATAAGGTGGCTCTGACCTCAACAACGTTGATTTCTGCGAATTCCTCTATCACATAATCTGACGGATCGTAGGGTTCATCACCCGTATCTTTTCTTCGTTCTTCACACAATTGTGCAATGTCGGCTCGAGGCCTTTCCAATGCAGCCTTGATCGACCTTCCTTTGACTACTTTAGGTCAATTGGAGATTTTTGATGAGCTTCACCTGTTTTGTTGAGCACTAGCGTAGTTGTGTAGAAGTCAATTGGAACAATTAGATCAACTAAAATCATATTGATGGAAATCTTTCAGGTTCTGTCAAATACTCATTCGGAATTATTATGTTCCTGTATTTGAAATTCTTCTCAAGTCATTCTTTGACGCTGATACAATTCTTTATAGTGTGTCCGAACAGTCTATGGTAGGGGCAATAGTTGGGATGGTCTTTTTTGTCGACTTCCTCCGGCCTCTTTGGCTCTCATAATATGAAATTGAGATTCTTAATCAAATCCGGAAACATC